CTCCGGGGGGGGTGTGTGTGGGGGGGTGTGTGTGGGGGGGGGGAGGGGAAGGCTAAAATAATTAGCTCTCATTGTAAATGACAACGGAAACGCTGGGGAGAGTGGTGGGGAAATCCTTCCTCCGAGCCCCGAGCAGCCGGAGCGGAGGCCGAGGGCTCCGATCCCCCCCGGCCCGGCTCTCTTCGCTGCAGGGCACATGGGAAACGTCCCTCGGCATTTCGGGTGTCCCCGGCGAGCGCACCCCCATTCGCCGCCCCATCGAAATCCCCTCCGCGCCCCGCGGGGGTGGCGCCCCCAAACCCGCTCGGCTGCCCCGGCCCCGCCGCTCACCGCCATCACCGCCGCCTCTTCCTGCCCAGCCGGATTCCGCGCGAAAACAGCCCCACGTGGTCGGCAAAAGCGCGCGAAACCTCATGAATAAGGGATAGGCTCGGGGGCGAGCCCCGCCCCTCTACATGAATATGGATGAGGGGGTGGGCGGGAACCTGGAGCGGGCGGTGGCCACGGCCGCGGCCAAGGGGGCTCAGGCGCCTGCTGGGCAGCAGTGGCAAACTTTGTCAAATATTTGGGCATTTCCCTCCGGGCTCGAGGGGGTTGCCTCCTGCCCGGACCCCGAGCCACGGGAGAGATCCCACTGGGAATTCCTGTGTTCATGTTCCCGTGTCTGCCTCTTCTGCAGCGAAAATCAAGTCTGCTTGACCAGGTTTGCCACTGACCCATGGGACAGCTGCTTGAGTCACCTTTATTCAGGTTCACTGTAAAACTGCAAGAGGTGGGAAGGGGGTTTTTGGCGTTCAGGTTTTTTTTTTTTTTTTTTTTGTGTGTGTGAGTCTGTAGGAAATAACAATATGGGGAGCTAATCAGAGCAGTTCTGAAGAACAGACACATCTGTCTGCAGCTGCTTGGTGCAGTGAGCAATGCCATTTAGAAGAGAAATTGAAGAAGAACAACTGCCCCATAGAAACTGGAAATGGAATTTAGAGAGGCAAAACAAGCAATGGACTGAAGCTTGGTGGTGAAACACTTCCGTTCCAGGCCACAGGTTCTTTCATAACAGTAGGTGGCTTGGATTTTGGAGATCTGTCTTCTCTGAAGGGTTTCTGACCACTATTTAGTAGCAGGCTATTTCTGCTCTTGGCTGCACTCAAGCGTGGGACAGTAACCCTAAAACAGGAGACACCAGAAGCAAAAGTGACTAAAGAGGCAGCTGACAACCATAGACCCGAATCGGCTCTTCCAGGAGACCAGCAAGATGATTCAGTCTGGTACTAATATAGCAAAGCAGGAGCATCGCGATATAAATAGGAGCGTGGCTCAGCCTCTTCTCTGTGACACATGATGGGGAGCTGGTGGGTGCTTGGCGTGACACAGGCACAGGGACCCCACCAGAGATTTCCCCACCTGTAAGCTACTAGGGACCACCATGGCTTTAAAGGAAGGCAGCCCAGGACTGGTACGGTGGTGCTGGTCCCAGGTGACACACTGTGATGAACCAGTCTCACCACAGGGTGCCACTGTCCCTCCAGGCATGGGACAGCTGGATGGACAGACAGAAAAGCTGGGGGCCATGTCCATGTTTTCACTGCTCTCTTTGAGTACCAGCTACAAGTGGTCCTGTGCTTGAGCTGGGGTGCTCAGTCTCTTTGGGAAGAGCTGAGGTTGGGCAGCTAAAACCGTCCCTGAAATCAGGTGGCTGTTGTGCATGGAACAAAATCAGGTGGCTGTTGTGCATGGGAGAAAATCAGGTGGCCATTCTGCATGGGACAGGGCTCCTTCTGCTGTGCTAGAGGGGATGCACTGCGGCGTGCCAGAGGGCTGAGATGCAGACAGGGCCCAGACTGCTTGCTGGGGTGAGCTCTGCTGAGCACCGAACTCCTGAGTATCAAAACACGACACTAGAATTTTGCAGACTGGTGGCTCACAGCAGAGGAGGAGCCCTGGGGACTGAATTCCCTGTGAAAAGAAGGGTAGAGACACAGGAGTACAGCCCAGGTGGTATCCCATGGTGATAATTTATGCCCAATACTAGATATCAGTAGAATTTCAGCTCTGAAACAAGACAGGCACATCTGTCTCTACAGTTGCTCAGCACCTGAAGAGCAAAGCAGTTTTGGATGAGAAGTAATATCCTGTCCAGAAGACTGATCTAATAAAATCTGAACGAGTATTTTAGAGAGAGAAACTGTCATAGAAGAGTGGAATTCAGTGATGACACGAGGGTGTAATGCTGTCCTGGAAACCATGACTGCACCTTCTGCCTTCGACACCTGCAAGTCAGGTGAGATTGCCAAAGGACAGCAGACTGCAACAGGTACAGCGCCAAATGCCAGCTTTCCTTGGGGCCCCCGAGGCTGCTAAATATCACCTCTTGTCTTGCTTCAGCCTGGCAACACCGAGTGACACAGCAAGACAAAGGGAGTGAGCCCTGCCATCTTTATGCACTGGATGGAGGAGATGGCAGAGAGCAGCGGTTCTCTGCTGAAGTGGGAGGATGTGTGCAGGTAAGGAGATGGGACAGTCCTCGGAGGCGGGAAGAGCAGAGTTATGTTTGTACACACCATGTCTGGGCTGAAAGGCACGGCTTGTTAATACAAAGGAACCATAAGTGTGGATTTTCCACCTCCTCTGTTTCACATAAGCAGTGAGGAAGGCAGGATCTAAAGTCCTTGCAGTGGTACCCAGCAGTCTTCTGCCTGAGAGACAGCTTTTGGATCTGATGTCCCAAGTGCTGGGCTCTAGCCGCAGTGTGAATCAGATGGCAAGAGCAGGTGGATTGGAAAGCAAAATCTCTCCCTCTGACACAGTTATGTGGGAGGTAACATGTTCAATTAGTTAGTGCCTGAGGCTACAAGTGAGAAGACATGGATTTTACTCCTGGCTCCGTTACCAAGGCACTTTTCAGGCAGAAGCACTCCACCTCTCTTTAAACAGAAGTGTCCCTTCTATAACTCAGGGATGTTGGTGCCTGCCAAGCCTTCGAGCTTGGATCCCTAAATAGAACATGTAAAAATATTGCAACATATCATTAACCTGAATGACAGTGTGAGAAGAGACAAGCTAAGGACCGGCTTCTCCACGTGTCATTCCAAAGGCATGACACCAGCATAAAAACCTGTTTCAACTCAGTGGAAAATCAGAGGAATAGGGCTGAGGCAGGCAACATGGTCTCAGGGTACATCCCCTCCATAAAGCTTGCTGCAGCGAAGCTGGAAAATTAAACCTGGGAAGATCAAGCAGACTTAAGTTGAGAAAGATGTGTGTGTGGGCTGGACCTGAAATGCTCTGTGCGTGCTGTTTGCTGGAGCAGGTGTGTGAACTTGATCAATATAGGGATCTTCTAAAGAGGTGTGGGCTTTGTACAGCAAATTTCAGCTTAGCAAAAGCCTTGCATTCCTATAGAAGCAATCCCTAGAGCCCCAGGTGAACCACAGTTAGAAGACCATGACAGAATTTATCCTCCAGCCCTTGAAATGACTCCAATAACACGCATCCCTCTTGAAACTCTGTTTAGTCAGACAGCTCTTGCTACTGAGAATAACCTGCTGATATTTTGCCAGTTATTTCCTTCAATTTGCTTTTTAGATCTTGGCTCATTTGTCCCAGTTATTTTCCACTTTACTGAACTTTTTTTCTCTGTCTGGTGTTTGCACCTCCAAATCCTGCTAATTATTTATTGTGTTTCCCTTTAGCTGCTATTCTCCAAGCTATGCCAAGTTAGTTCAGTCGGAGTTAAACTTTATATAAAAGCCAAACTCTCCAAGTTGTTAACCATTCGCCCTGTTAGGGACTTCATTATAGGGTCTGGGCCATGGAAGAAAATTGTTAACTGCCCTGCCTTGCAGTCAAGGCTCCTTCTACTAGGCAACCTATTTCTCCTTGCCTTGGAGGTGCACAAGGATTCGGGTGCTGGATCAGCCGAGCGTTAGCCGTTGGGTGTGACGCCGGGTTGTGCGGACTGGCCTGAGCGATACGATACAGGCGATAGAGCGATACAGGCAAAGCCCCCACGTTACCGGCAGCGCCTACCGCACCCCCACCCACCCCCACCCGCCTGCGGGGGAGCCCCAGCCCAGCCCGGGGGAGGGCGAGGAGCGTGGCTAGGGTAGACCTGGCCCCCACGCTGTGCGATTCAGCACTGGGGCTCGCAGGGCGGTTCTGTTCCTCCCACCCGTTTCAGAGCAGAGCTCGGGAAACGCGCTCAGCGCCCCGGCGGGTCCCAGGCCGCCCGCATCCTGCGCTCACTGTCCCGCAGGGGAACGCATGGGGGACAGAGCGCCTTTAAAATGCGGCAGGCCCGCTCCTCGAGTCCCGCCTCCCGTCGCTGCCCATTGGCTCTCGCTGCTATTTATTTTGGTCTCTGTGCCAGAACTGGTCTCTGATTGGTCCAAGCGGCACCCGGCTCAGGGACTCTCTAGTAGTGCCGACTCTGGCCCCGGCTGCAAAGGCGTCGGCTGGTCTGCCTTGGCGCTGGCGGCGCGGTGCTCCGCTTGAGCCGTTCTTTAGCGACGCTCCCTGGATGAGGGGAGAGGCGGGGCCGGGGCCTGGGATGGCGGGGCCGGGCCCCCGCGGCTGAGCGCCGTCTCCGGGGAGGCAGGGCCGGGCGGGCCGGGCCCGCGGCGGGTACGAGCGGGGCTCGGGGGGAAAGGCGCACCGGCCCACGTCAACCCGGCGGGACTGGCACGGCCCGGCCGCGGCGGGGGCCGCGGGCCTCTGAGGGGAGCGGCGGGGCCGCGCTCCGGGGCGGTGCGAGTGCCCGCGGGGTCGGCGGGCGGCCCGGGTGAGCGCGGAGCCTGGCCGTGCCTCCGGGCTTCAGCAACCCGCGCCTCGATATCCAGCTGCCTTTTTTTTTTTTCTTTTTCTTTTCTGCATATGGGGATTCCGGCAGGAAAAGCTTCGTCCCTTGCCGGGGGCGCTGCGGTTCCTCGGCTGCAGTCGGCATCAGCTCCGAGGTTACCGGCGGCCCTCGCTGCTCCCTGCGTTTCTGCCGTGCCTTTCGCAAACGCTTCCGCGGGTCCCTGGAAGGCAGCTTTATGCCTCCTTTTGCAGCCGGGGAGCCCTCCTATGGCAGGAGTGTCCAGAGGCACCTTTGCCAAGCCTAAAGGGCAGAAAGTCACTTAAGATTTTCTCCAGCTCTCTGGTTCCTTTAGCGGCTTTTAAAATAGACAGTGCTTCCTTGCCAGCATAGCATGAAGTGACTGTGTCGTGCTCCTTTGCTTCACTTGCCGCTGCTTTGCTTGTTTGTGCACCTGCCTTCTCGAGGAAAGAAAACCAAAACCGAAACAACAAAAAACTTGAGATACTTATTTCTGAAAGACGCCCCTGAACTGGGGTTCTCTGTCTGATGACTTTGCACTGTTGTTGATACTTCTGCTTTTAGTATTTTTGGTTGGTTGTTTTTAGCATTGCAGTTCCTTTCTTTTACAGTTTAGTTCAGAATAAGATGTGAAAATGAAACTTGGAGGAAAGAGATGTCCTTGATCACTGGTGGAAAATCCCTGTATTGTGATTTCTAAGGGTGAAATGCAAAATGCAATTTGTTGTGACCAAGAGCAAGGTTTGAAGAGCCATCTTAAAGAGAAGAAAGAAAAACGTGGGGTTTTTTTGTTTGTTTTCTTTTTAAGCATTTAAGTTATTGAGGTAACAGTTGTATTTAAGCAGGGATCTGGACAGTGACTTTTTTCTTGCATAAATACAGTATTTTAAGGAGCGATCTTAACCCTTGTATCATCTGTACTTGCAAGATTTTCTGATACTGCTTTCAGAAAGGAAGAAAGCTTTCATTTTATTTATTAGAGCTGAAACTCTGGTAGTGTGTAATTCACCTTTATGTAGTTGGGCTTTGAGAGCACAGAGAATTGCCAGTGATTTGAGCACTGAATTTCAGAGAGCTCTGGTATGGTTACAGAGCCATGAATCAAGAAACAACATCCCCTCAGTGAGATGCCATCATTTTCACTGAAGGCACAGCTGAGCCTTTCCCAGCACGCTGTCACAGCAACCTTGGAGTCATGCGGGGGTTCTTGACCCGAGTGCAACCTGTGAGTCCTGCGCCCGGACAGAGGAATAGGCCTCCCCCAAGTCAGGCTGACTGCGGTGTTGAAAACCATTTTATTTTGTTTTCTGGTGTATGGTGAATAGAGGTGCCTGCTAGAAGAAAAAAGGAGACCAGGACTGCAGCACTGGTTTCCTCTTATGTGGCTACAGAGTGATTTTGCCCTATTGCATAGGTTGGGCTGGCTGAAGTGAACAGCCCTGCGGCGGCAGGGTGTGGTGAGTGATCTCTTAGATATGCTCAGCTGACTGGATTTATTCTGGACTAGACAGGCCAGGGTTTTGGACAGTGTGCTGTAAGGAGCAGTGTTGCTGGGGATGATGAAGCCTAGACGGATCCTTGCTATCAGTTCCTGGTCCTGTTGCCGTGGAATTTTTGCTGGTGACTTGGACAGCAACGGGCCAGTTCTCCACATCCTTGCTGAAGGCCTTAGCTATTAGAAAAGCATGTTGATCGTCTTGTCTGGCTGATGGCTTTAGGTGCCTTTTCTTACCATGTTGGACGTTCTGTTGCTCTGCTTTGTGTGTACTTCATCTTGGGAAGAAGAATAGGATACTAATACCAGGCCTTAGCGAGCAGCCTGGCTGAGAGGTAAACTTGATTCTGTTTTGCCCTTTGAAACCTTGTGACTGGAGCTGTTACATGTGGCCAACTCCTCTCCTTATCAGTAGCTTGCTGCTGTTGTGTGATAGTGGTGGCTTCTAGGGAAAAAGAATGGTTCCTGTTCTTATGAGGAAGGTTGTTTTTTTCCCTTGTAATTCTCTCACAGCTTTATACTCAAGCTCTTTTCAGTGTGACAGGCAGATCGAATTCTTTGTCCCAGAAGAGATATTAGGAGGTTGTGATGGTTCACACTTGATGGTGTTATTTTGCCAAGGCTCTCTGAGGTTTTTCTCTACCCTTTCCCAGATTTTAAAAAAATTAGATAGAATTTTTTCAGTATTGGCAAATGTGAACGTACTTGTCTTTGCTGCTAGTGAGATGCAGTGATGTTTTAGAGGAAGAGAATGAAGCAAAATTATTAACAGAAAATCATTCTCAACAGTGTCAGTTCAGAGAAGTGAGAAGCTATATGGAAGAGAGGACACTTGTAGCGATGTTTGGAATGTGAAGGTTGCTGGAACCTCTACTAGAACTAGGATTTTTTGGCACAGATTTTGCCATCTCAGCACAAAGTTGATCCTTCCAGGTCTGCATGTGTTTATTTAATGTGACGTGTCTTGTGTAGCACAGCATACGGCAGTCGCAAAAGAAAAATCCCATCTCAGCAAGTATCTGTCAGCATGGATGAATCAGAGGGAGGGTTTGTTAGCTGAGGGTGGGATGATCCCTTTACCCCTCAGAAGACCTGGGAAGAGTCCCAGCCTCTGAAGAGAAAGACAGGTCTGTGGATGACAGTCTTGAGCAGTTTGTCGGGAAGGTGCTACTGAACTCTAGAAGCTTAACAGATGACACAGGGCTGTACTGATTCTTTCCGACTTGTGAGTCACCCAGAACCTTGCAGGGAAAATACCTTCTGAGGCCTGTCATGGGGGCTGTCAGTTTTTGCCATGCCAGCCAGGGCTAAAGTCAAACAGGGAGAATTGTTTTGAGATAAATCCTGGATTAACTGTATCACACAGACTGCTAGAGTGCTGTCTCTGGTGATGTGCATCTTGTAAGATGCCAGCTGATGGAGATGGGTTTTTCTGAATCAGTGTCATCTGTGACCACTTCTTTGGGGAGTGCCAGGAGAGGTGGTAGGACCTGATGTTTGTATGCAACTTGCAGCTGGTCAAGTGCCTTAGTGGTGACGGTTGCTGTTGTAGGATGGGAAGAGGAAAGGATTTGCACAAGGTGATCCATTGAATCAGGAGCAGGCTTAGTAAGGTAAATCAGATCAAAACTCCAGTATATAATATCTCCTGATTTAAAGTATTTTGTGCCATAGTCCGCTTAAGGTTCCAAGGTGATCATAGAACCAACAGAAGGATAAACTGCTGCTGGTGTGGTTTCTGCCAAAGCCACTGGCACGAGTGTGAAGCACATGGGAGTTTTAGGGATGGCAGAGTTTTCCTTTAACTTCTGGAGGGACAGTTAATATCACATCACTGTAAGGCCTGGGAGATGGTCAGATGGTGGAAAAGATGTAAATGTTCTCTCAAGGAAGGCAGTACAAAAATGTTGCATCAAGGGAGTGGGAAGTTCTGTCTTGTCATCTTCCTGAGGGGCAGGAGAGGTGTAAGGTAGGGCAGGCAAAAGACCTGAATGCCATGACTCTTCTGGTTCTGATCATAGCTCTCTGCTGCATGAGAGTTTGACCTTAGGAAACCCACGAGAGAGGACTCTGTCTTGTTCTGGGTTTGTAAACTACCAGTTGTGATGCTGACTTGTGTCTGAGAAGGGCCATGGAATTGAGACTGGTGGATGTAAAGAAGCTGGAGAACTTTATGCCAACAGGGTTTTAGGTGCTGTCTTTTCATAGCCTTACTGTTGTACTTAAAATCAGAATCATTTTGGTGCCTTGCAGAGGGTTAGAAGAAAAATGCTGAATGTTGGCTTTTGCCAGTGTTGGCTTTGGAAGATAAAACCATCTGTACAGTCCCTTTAGGTAAAAGTGTGTGAGGCACTCCCTGCTCTCAGACTGCAGGGCTGGTAACAGCAACAGGTTTTAGGTAGGGCCCTTAATTTTTTCTTTTCAATAGTTGAAATAAAATCACTCAGTGTAACTTCTTGATCTTGGGAGCTAGAATGATAATGTTCTGGTACAGCAGGGTTTTCTCCATCTGATGATGCCATGTATTGCTGCTGAGTCTTGATTTCTTCTGTGAATCTACCAAAGCTCAAAAAACACGCAAAATTTAATCCAATGTAGTATTACACTATTTTGAAGGTATTTGTTACTCTGATAACAGTGTTTTTGTACTGTCCACCCTAATGGCTGTGTGCAGAGTAAGGGCAGGTGGCATTTCATTGTGTAATACAGTCTTTCAGATGATGATAATTTGCTGTAACAAGCAGGAAGCACTTGTGCAGGGGCCTAATGGCAGGGATGTGTTTCTTAGCGCTGACTCACAACTGATTTAATGTTGCTTTTTGTCTCTGCTCTGGTTGTCGTGTGCTGTGTTTGACCTGGACCAGAGGGAAGGCAGGATGTTCCCGTCCATGATGTCTGTGATGAGTTTCTCCGTGTCTGACAACATCACACATTCAACTACCCTGGTGACAGCACTGGATAATGTGACAACTTTGTCCCCAACAACAACGCAGGCCATCAATGACACCAACATCACTGTGCCGCACAAGTGCCTGTTGTTGCTCTATGAGGACATTGGGAAGTCCAGGTGAGATGGAGGATATGGGACCATGGTCTGACTCTGGGCTGGGGGAAAGAGCTTTCTTAGAATTTGGTTGAGAAGGGACAGGGGCTGGTGCTTTCCCTTCTAGATGCCGAAGAATAGGAAAAAAACCTGTTTTATTTACTTTTTGCAGAGTCCGCTATTGGGATCTTCTGCTCCTGGTTCCCAATGTGCTTTTCTTTATGTTTCTCCTCTGGAAGCTGCCCTCTGCCAGGGCCAAAATCCGGGTCACTTCCAGCCCAATCTTCACTACATTCTACATACTAGTGAGTACCGCTCTGTGCTTTTGAACTGATGAGGGAGTGTTTTTTTTTGTTACCCCTCTTGAGCAATATCACTGAATTAATGGAGAGAGAGGCTAGACCATATTTTGCAGGGATAAGAATTATTTTTAGTTGAAGGTGTACTACAAGAAGTAGACACAGATTATTAATTTTATTTCACTGTCTGAATTCTGCTTTTCACATATTCTGGTACCATATCTGCTGGATTTGAGTGGGTTTTGTTTTCCTGTGGTGATTTTTTTTTTCTTTTCCTTTTTTTTCTTTTGTTGTTTTCTTGTCTTGGAAATTAGTATCTTATACTTTCTTTGCTCCTTGCAGTAAGTAGCATGTGACACAAAACCAGCTTCTCACTGAGGTTGTGAGAAGTGAAACACTGGAAGATAATTTGTGTGAAGCTGTTGAAAAGCTTGGTCATCTGCTGTAGAAAATGGTGATGTGAGAGGGTTTTGGTTAGTCTGAGAATGTAGAAACCCAACCCTGTTAATTTCTTTCCCATCATATCAACGTGGCTGCTGACTCGATGTTCTTGATACTTGCTAAGGTGGAAACAGAATATATAGGCAGTACAGTTATAGTTCACAAACATCTAAGATCTTGTCTGTTCTCCTCTTCCCAGTTTAGAGGCATAGGCAACTTCTGATCACATTAAGGTAGCCTTAATTTCCGAACATCATACCTGTTAACTGTGATATTGCTCACAGGGCATGGTAAACACAGCTAAGAACATATGTGAATTTGTTTAAAAATATAATTCAGAAGCTTTATCATAAGTGCTTTCTGAGATCCTGGCTTGCCTCAGTGTGTAGCGTAATGTGCTTGCTCTTCCTCAGTGAGATTAGTACAGGTTGTAGAAGTAAATGTGTGTTTGACTTGGGTTAGATGGGAGGCATCCTTCTTTGGGCTGCATACAGGTACTGGCATGGCAAAACCCAAGAAGCATCAAAACCACATCTGACCTAGTAGCCTCAACTGAATTTTTGGTGGGATGTCTTTTTAGCTCTTTCAGGTATGGACTGTGGGCACTGGGCTTGTGTGCAGTTTTAGATAACCATGTATACACACAAATGCTCCAAACTTAAAAATATTACCAGCCATTTCCAGTCTGAATTTAAATTGTCCTTTAAGCTTCCGGTAGTGCATGTGGCTCAGTAGGGAGTTCATGCCAAAGGCTTTGAAAAGCGAAACTCCCGATAAACCAAAGGGAAGAAAAAAGTAAACTGACTCTGCTGTTGACTTTTTCAGAACAGAGTGAGAAGCAGAAAGTGAAACAGCCTTAGAGGAAAACACTTTCATTCAGTTTGATCTTCTGGAGTATGTTATTGGGAAATGAGGATGGAGGTGTGTTCTGTGAGGATTTCCTTTCAAATAGCTGTTTGTCATGTCTTGAAGGAATGCTTTCTTGCAGAGTCAGTGATTCAAGCAAAGTTAATAGATTGAGAAAAGTCTCCTCCTACCCGGAGGGTAAGCAAAAAGGGTGTTTGTTCCTCTCCAGTGAGTTGTTGCTGCTCTAGAACACCATTATTTTCAGGGATCCTTTTTTGTCAGTGTTTTCTTCCAGAGTTTTCTACCCCAGAAGGGAGTGTTGTATTATTATTCTTTTATGCCGTTTGCCTCCCTTCTAAGGAGGAAATATTCAGATGTAGGTGTCTTATTGGTCATTTCTGTTCTCCAGCCACCTTAGAATCAGCTTGGACTGTCTTGGTTCTCTGATAGATTTATCTGTCTCATACCTGCATTATTAGAATTAGCTTGCGACTCGGATAATTTTATCTGGAAAAATCTGCTTTCTTGGAGCGTAAGTCTGCACAGCGGAGGGTAGATATATCCAACTGAGCTCTTAATTGCATAGTAAGGCTGTGACAGCACAGGAGTTGGTAAATTAGCCTTGCTGAGCTCCATGCTGTCATACTTAAATGGTACATGAGCTGACTTGGGTATCTCTGTGTTGCACTGTGTGGCAGGGTGAGGTGTTTTAAAGCTGTTGCTTGCAGCTGACTTTTTCCTCTGCATTCCTGAACATTTACACTGTTGAGAGAACTGCAGATGTTAGTTTTATCACAGATCTGAAGTGTGGTAGTTGGTATTGAGTGGCTTCTGTTATCTGGTGTGATTGGTTTATTCAGTCATACCAAGCACTTGATCTTGTAATTTGGAGGGATATGTTTTGTCTGGTCTTTCTCCTCCCCTCCTCCAGTTGATTGAAAGGTGGGAAGACTGTTTGCTGTAAAGATACTGTTGTAAGGAGTGGATAAGACCTCTTCAGAGGTCTTTAATCTGACAGTTAAGGAAATTTGTTTCTTCCTAAATTCTAAGCCAGTACTCCTACCTCTAACAGGCCTGAGGAATCTTCTTCAGAAAATTAACTCTAATCTGCTACAGGAAATCCTTAGCACACATTACCAGGATTGAAAGATTACCTGGAAATGGTATTCCAAAAGCGTGTCTGGTCACTACTGCGTATGTGCCTTTTGATATGAGCTCACTTTGGTATCTTTTTGTGTAGGTATTTGTGGTGGCTTTAGTTGGTATTGCCCGTGCTGTTGTCTCCATGACTGTGAGTGCCTCCGATGCTGCCACAGTTGCTGACAAGGTAGGTACAACACTAATTTTAGAGGCTCTGCTTGTGCAGTTCTGATCACAGCAATCTGTTATGGCTTCCCTTCTATGTGTCTACAAGAAGAATGTCATTTTTTTCAGTACTCGTAGCTATGTGCACTATGGAATCCTGTTCTGATAGCTGTATCTAAATGATCACAACATCCAGGGCTGTAAAACAATGGACTTCCTAAAATAGACACACAAATAACGGCAGCAACACTTTCCTGTTGCAAGGATGAAATGACTCTACTTTGCAAGAGCTAAACATTCAGATACCTTTAGTGGATAGGCAAGACATGGCCTTTGTTACTCTTGCAATATTTGAATGGCTCTTTGAAAAATATTTAATTCTTATGTATTGAAAGCAAATAAAACCGAATTCCCTTTTGAGACTGATATCTGAACGTCCTTGCAGCCACTCTGAGTACAGGGCAAACCCTTAGCAAACAGGAAATAGCTGTGTATGTGCTGTTCCTTTGTAGTCGTTTGACTTGTAGCAGAATATTACCTCAACCAAAAAGCTCTGTAGTTCTTGAACTGTTAGAGGAAGAAGAGCCACCCACAGAGTATAGGTCTTCTGGCTTTATTCCCTGGGAGCAGTGTGGTTCTTTTGCTTTTCCCTTTAGTGTTACCTGTCAGAGCATTCTAATGCACTGCTTGTTGTGAGTGGCTGGATGTTTGTAGCATTTTCATTCACCTCTGTTGAATAGATGTAGGTCCAGAACTTGAAAAATGAAGAAGAGGAGAGAAGGTGCTTTTCTTCAGCTCTGTTGGTGTTGCTGCTAAGTGCACCTTGCTGGGAAGTCATGCAGTAAGACAGATACTCTGTCAATTTTTCCTGTACACATGTTCCATCATGTCTATTATGTTTCTTTTGTTTTCTCTCATATACGTACATATCTATATGTACACATATGCACACTGTGTGTTTTCTGAGATTAGAAGTGTCTCATCAAGTGCCTCTTAAAATATTGCGTATCTTCAAGAGAGAGTGCCATTCAGTGTTCAGAGGAGACGCGTTTAATAAGCCAGAATCTGGATTCTTGTTCTAGGTTTGGCACTGATTTATTGCATGACTACCTGGAAAGTTGCCTCACCTGCTGTTATTTTCGTCTTGTTTCATCAAATGAAACACAGGAATGAAAATAACAAGCTAGAAGTGGGAGGGCTTTAGAGTTGAATATGCCTTAGATTTAGGGACCAGTAGCTTTGGAAAAGTGCAGAATACAGAGTTTGTTCAGTTATAACTGTACTGCAGAATCTACTGCTTTAAGAACTGGCCCTGTTTCATATTTTACTTTTGAGGTTTGTGTTTGTACTTCTTGGGAGTACAGCAGAAAGGACACATCCGAGACAAGTGACATATCCTCAAGTGCGGAAAACCATGGTCACTTCCTCTCTCCGTAGGCATGCTATTTCCTCGCTCCCACACGACTGTTTTGTTTCACAGGCCTGTTTTGTTTCACAGGCATGGACGTGTCTTGGAACAAGCATTTAATTAGTGTCCCTACAAAGCATGAGGGGGGTTTGTGGAAATTACTTGGTCCATTCAGAGGCTGCCATCCCTTGGAGCAGAGTAGAGTTTTGCTATATTAACTTTGAACTGATTCCTGGCTTCATCTAATCATGTTTGTCTGGTTTCTGTTATCCCTTAGATCCTGTGGGAGATCACAAGGTTCTTCCTTCTGGCGATTGAACTCAGTGTGGTGATTTTAGGCCTTGCTTTCGGTATGTGTCAGGGGGTTTTTGCGTGCTTTGAATGTTTCCTATTCCTTTTCTTTCCACAGAGACTGCATCTGTAAGTTTGTGGAGATGCTGATTTTATGAAGTGAAGGAGCTCTAGAATAAAGACAAAGGACAAACTGGGGATTTTTAGTTAGAAATGGCTGAAAGCCCGATTACATGTGATACATGATTATGTGGTGATGGAGTGCACAGCTTAGGTGAAGAAGGCTTATGTAAAGATCAACAGTCTGATCTTTGTTTCAACTCCATTTTATTCAAGGTGATTCCTTTGAGGGTCTTTCCATCCCTTCCTTGGCTGGTTTGATTCCATCCTGGCTTCATTCAAGTGCTTTAACCTTACTTTTTTCAGTTGTACGAGTGAAAATGTTGTTTGGAGCACCTCTTTCTGTGGGTCAGAGGTAGAGGAGAGGGGTTAGCGGGTGACACTCCATCTGCCAGCAGGACACCTGAGCACTAGCTCTTTCAGCTTTTCAGGGCTCATAGATTAATTTAAATTGGAAGGAGCTTCTGGAGATTGCCTGCTCCAGCATTTTCCAGGTCAGATTTCTGTAAATTATGTAAGCCCTTCTCCCCTTTTCTAACCCAGTCTCCTGTCAATTTTTTTTCCTGAGAAGAAACTTTACAATATCTCAGTGTACATGACACCAGAATCATTCCTGACATTTGTTGTTTTTTGGGAACCCCAGTGGAAGGACTTAGTTGCTTTCTATATTAATGTGGGCAGGAGAAAAGCAAGTTAAAACCTGTTGTTTTGTAATTATTATTTTGTCTGTGAAAGGGTCAACTCTCCAAAGAGGGAAGCAGTTTCCAGTGGTTAAGTGACCTTTAACCTTCCCTTGAATGCCTCTGGAAATACAGAGATTTTCCTGTGTTGGTTTTGGAGGGAGCTGATTTTTACCAGGGCTGGGATCACATCCTGAGTCACTTCTGTGTGCCTTATTTCTAGGTCACCTGGAGAGCAAGTCGAGTGTGAAACGTGTTCTTGCAATCACTACGGTGCTGTCACTGGCATATTCTATCACCCAGGTGAGTACACTGGAGCAGAAGAATTAGTCTTTGCAAAAGAGGGGACTTTGCTTTGAGTTAGGTGTGGGATTCCTATCTGGAAAGTGGCAGCTTTGCTCCTTGGATGAGGTTTTGGGTAAAGACTGGATGCTTGTGGCGTGTGAGGATCCCCAGAGCACACACCAGACTCTATCTCCTTGTCCTCTTCGTGGCATGAATGGCTCAGCCAAGGTGTAGAAATTGGTTGAGGTTTAGATGGGTTGCCTTGTTTAGTGAAACTTGGAACAGGAGTGAGAAGTTTTTCACAACTGAGCCACAAGTTCTGAACCTAGCCTCAAGTGCCATGAAAACTAGATGGAGACACCTGAGGTGTGCTTGCCAGATAAGGGCAGTGCAGAGTGGGCCTCTTGTCTGGTGATTCTGAGGGCTGAGAGCCCTTGCTTCCCTTCAGACTGGCAGCTGGCTTGCTAGCTCAGTTTATTAGCTGTGTCTCCATCTCTCTGAACAATGCGGTATGTGTCTAGGTTTCTTCTTTTTGGTATGTAAGTAGTCAGCCCTGTGTCTCTATACTTGGGGCAGCGCCAGAATGACACAGAGATCTTTGTTCTGTGACCAGGCTCTTGCTTGTGTAGGCAGTGAGCTGATCATTACCACACGATAAAGCTGGAGGAGCCTCATTAAATATCAAGTGTTTGAGCTGTAACTGGGTTCAGTATTGTTTACAAGCACTTTTTTCTCTCCACTGTCTGTATGTTAGCTTCTGTTCATACCGTTTTTCAGGAATTCAAGTGAATGAGACAGTGCCCTTTCCCAACTCTTGCACAAGTGTGGGCTTCTGTATTCTGGATGTTTCAGCAGGAAAGGTCTAATTTAGAGATGGAAATGGAACTCTCAGTCTATTTCAAACAGACAACTGCTTGCATACCCTATCCCTTCATTCAGTCTCACTTCTGGAATGTCATTGATGCCAGTTGCCTTTGGAAGCAGATTCCTGCCATTTTTTCCCCCCCTCACTTCTTGTCTTCAGTTTCTTCCTCTTTTCCTGTGTCAGCTTAACTTGGTCTAAGCACAGCAATGGTTGGGTCTTAGGTGGCAGGGAGAGATGCTGTCTGAACTTCTTTAAACACAGTCTCCCTTGTCCAGACACCCGCCCTAGTGAGCATGCTGCCTATAACAGAATCATGCTAGTGCCACTTCTCTCCTAGGGCACCCTGGAAATCCTGTACCCTGATGCCCACCTCTCAGCAGAAGACTTCAACATCTACGGCCATGGAGGGAGACACTTTTGGCTTGCCAGCTCCTGTTTCTTCTTTCTGGTAAGTACTGGTCATGTGTTACACACTCTGATAGCTTTTTTATATTTTCTACATGGGGCAAGGAGGATGATTTGTGTATGATAAGGCCTTAGTCCCCCTCCTGCCTGATACAGTGCAGCATTGATGCTTCTCATGTGGTAGGGAAGCTGAAGCAATAAAGGTGTGGTGGGAGTTGTGTAAGCTGTGGCAGCTGAATTCAGATGTTCTTCATTCCCTTGTTTCTCAGTGATCAGCCTTTTTGTGCTGATGGGGGTGAGGTGTGGGCCTTCACATCTGCACCATCTGAGCTGGGTTTAATACCAGGGGTCTGTGCCTCTGTCCTGAGACACCTAGGGAGTGTGTGACACCACATACCATCCCTGCAAAGATTGTTTAGTTCAGTTGCCAAGGAGCTGTGGAACAGTTAGTTCTTTGTTTCAACAGGTCTATTCCTTGGTGGTGATTCTTCCAAAAACTCCTCTGAAAGACCGGATTTCTTTGCCCTGTAAGTGACCTGTGTTCCATAGTACAGATGGAGACAGTGTCAGGATAAAACATAGGTGGGAGTAAGAGGTTCCTGTACATGGCTGTGTTGCAGATACATCTCACTGTCTCAGGGTACAGATACATGGCAAGGGACTGATAAGTTATCCCTGGAAAAATAGGATGTTGTGCCTTTTGGAGTGCAGAGTAAGAGCAATTACACTGCTACTTCAGTAGCTAAACAATTACATTAAGAAAACAAAATCTACTGCTCTGTTAATGATACAGATGTAATGCAAATATATAATCTTCAGAGAGCTGTAACAAATGGTTTCTTAATAATAGCTTCCTTTGAAATGCATGTATGATGTTAAAGTGTACGTGCTGGTCATCCCCTGGGAAAGAAAGGCTAATTGGGAACTGTTTAATTTTTATCTGAGCATTTACTCTATTAAGATGCTTCTCTGGTTTTTCTTTTTGTTGCAGAACAACTGCAGTTCTTGAATAAGGAGAGAAGCTGTTACTAAGATGTTTGCACTGGGCTGTTCTCTCTCTAAGTAGTGTTGGTGTCTGTATGGGTACCCTGAGGGAGTGGATGTGTGTGGCACATGCCACAGGCAGGTGGTCCTGAGCCTGATCTGCCTAGTGTCCAGCACACCCTGCTGCTCCTGTCCAGGTTTTCTGAGTAGTTTTGTTAGTTGTACGTTGGAAGGGCACAGCTTCTGGTTCAGCTGTGGGCTGTTTGGTTTTCTTACGTTCAATTATGTGACTGATACTGGTTCCAGATGCTTGCCTATAAAATCTTTGCAAATGTTGCCATGATTATGTGTTTTCAAAACCCATCTTGTGTGTGTGTGTATGTGCATCCAGGGGGGTATGGTTTAGTCTACTCTACCTCCATCAATCCTGCCAGCATGAGACAGGAAAATGCAGTCTTAATTCTTCAGAAGTTCTTAAACAGATAAGATTGTGAGACTCTTGTGTTGGGTTTGCCATCTCCCTCAGACAGATTTGAACTGTGCTGGTGCTTATGAGGTTGAGCTTCATCTGTGTCTATGTCTTTCCCACAGCCAGGAAGAGTTTTTATGTTTATGCTGGAATCCTGGCACTGCTGAACCTGGTGCAGGGCCTGGGCAGTGCCCTCCTCTGTGTGGATATCATAGAAGGACTGTGGTATGTATGCTGGGGAAGGAGGTCTGCAGCCCTGTTTCTCATGTTGCATCTCAGTGTCCTTCAACACTACCTCTTCCAAGAAAACAAACTTGTGCTGTGAACCTAAGAAGCAGTAAAGCTGTTGGTTCTGTTTTATGCTGAAAGACCTCAAAGTGATCAGGGGTCAGGAAACTAACAGCGGAGAGGTCTGTGGAGCTGTATGCTCTGCAGTGGTCTTGAGGTGGTGGGTGAGAGTAATTGTTTGAATCTGTTGACTCGTGTTTCATAGGTAATAAGGGAGGAAACAGTCTGTTTGCTAGAAGTAGCACAGAGATACACTTACTCAACTCTGGAGTCTCGTTCTGCAGGGATCAATGTCACTTCTGTGAATCAAAATTGGGAGCACTGAGACTGTTCCTGGTCAGACCTTAGGTCTTGGCATGGTTCCCTCTGAGTATCTAGGAGCAGTGACACGTTGATGGCAATGTCTGTTACTTTGCATTGGTTTGAATTTGTTTAGCACTTTTCTTGTCCTCTGCTTGGACACTGGAGGAAAACTGGATAATTCTGGGGGGATGTGACTGGTGTTAGCTAGCTGTATTGTGCTTCAGTGCTAAATTTCTTCATGTTTCCTTTTGCCATTGACAGCTGTGTTGATGCTACCACGTTCCTTTACTTCAGCTTCTTTGCACCTCTCATCTACGTGGCATTCCTGAAAGGCTTCTTTGGGTGAGTAGCCAGGAGCAGGAGCTTAGAGGGTATATATTGTCATTTAATTGTTTTGCACTCAAGTTCTCTCCATCTGCAGAATAAAGGCAGTGACTAGAATGCCAGTTAGGGAACCAGTTTTTAATTTCTGGCCTTGAAGTTTCTCTTGTGTGACCCAGGGCTGCTCGCTCCTATCCAGGACTCCTCTGTATGCAGAGTAGAGCTGATGGCTATATTCCTCTCAAACATTTATGAGGATTACGGACTACTTCAGTGTCTGCATCCTGTTTAGTACAAAGTTTATCTGCTGAAGTTGTTAACTAAGTGGTTAGTGATAGATTGAGTCCCGGAAGGTTAAGTGGTCTTCTAAGTGGGTTTTGGTATAGGTTTGTAGAAAGGATCTAGGTGTTAGGTAACTCTTCAGCTGATGACTCCTCTACAATGGCCCAAGTCACCAGTTCTAAGCACTTGGGAGTGTGATTCTTGGGTCGGGGTTGCCACCGTGTGGTCACTCCGAGGAGATGCATCTTGGCAAGAAAACCGCAGTGTTTAGTGTAGGTTTTAGCTTTTACTGTCTACAGGCAAGAAATATCAGACTTTAAAATAACTAAGAACATAAGGTACTCCTAAAATATCAAAATGTGCCTCTGCTGCCTTCTGAAATCAGCAGAGAACAGTGTATGGAAGTAGAGATGGAAACTTCTGATCCACAAGTGTTTGCGTTCTGGTTTTCCTGATGTACACAGATGGAACTTGAGGCCAGCTCCTGTTCTGTTGGTGTCAGTAATCAGGCTGCTGTGGCATCCAGTGGTTTGGATGCTGTTTCCCTCAGTAATTTAGAACTCCCAAAGATGAGAACACCTTTCTCCTACTAGTCAGGGTTCTGCCATTTTTATTTCTCTTAGATGACTCAGGCCAAAGCCACGTTTAGCATTAATTTATGATGATTACTCTGTTAGGTATTTTTCAGGACTGAAAGCTAGTGTGAAGAGTTTTTAGGGTCTGAATACACAATTTCTTAGTGCTGCTGAGTTTCAGTTAAGTGGCTGTGATACTAGGTTCCTTAAGCATGTATTTTAAATCTTTAATCACTCCAGGTCTGAACCGAAGATCCTTTTCTCCTACAAGTGTCAGGTGGATGAACCTGAGGATGTGGATGTGCACCTACCCCACCCTTATGCTGTTGCCAAGAAGGAAGGAATGGATTCTGGGTTCTACTCGAGCACTCAGATTGACACCACAGCCTACCTGGATGACGTGGCCTCTATGCCATATCACGTGGGCAGCATCAACAGCATAGACAGTGACCGCTGGAAAGCCATCAATGCCTAAGGCACAGCTACCCGCTTCACACGATGCCTCATTCCTTTCCTTCCTAACTCCCCGATACCACAGCTGTTAAGATGTCCTTTGGAAATCTGTCCTTGGCTATCTGCCATGGCTCTCTTCTCTTCCTTAGGATTTCTGCAACCTATAGTGGAACTAAGTCGGCAGCCCAAATCCTGTTGGAAAGAACATTTTCTGTTGCTACCTGAGAACAATGTAGAACAGTTGTGTTCATAAACCTATAAACTGAACCTTCCTGATCCTCTGTGTTTCAGATGTGAATATGACCCAGAAGACAGGTCTGACTGGCACCTTTCCTTTTCAGTGACTGAAAGCACTTGTCTGCCAATTAGGGGAATGGCGTTGAGGGATGAGGGTGTTGATTTGACTGCTGTATTGTACATATATAGAAAGAGTTTGGTGGTTGAAACCAAAGATGGTCTTCCTGGGATTTTTCAAGAAGCACGGCTGCCTAGTTCTTGTCATAATGCAACAGCATAGGTGGTGATAGCAGTGTCTGAAGAGGGAAGCTGGTCAGCTGGGCTTGTATCTGGTTTCAGCTAATACTGCTGAAAATCATGAATTGCAGTTGTTAGGGGTTAAAAGAAGTGTTCTGAGTGTGTGGGAAGAGAGGTATGAAGAGGAATGAACTGTTCTTTGAGCCCTGAGAGCATTTTGGAGGACTAGTAGCTGGCAGCATGGACATGAACTGACTGAACAATAGGGAGCCAGAAGGACAGACTGTGCTGCTGTTTAGCTGAGCTGAAGTAGCTGTGAAACAGTCTGTGGAGGCTGTACTACTGTGCATCGGAGCTCACAGGAAAAATATAAGTTAATAACACTGAATCAGGGCTGAGTTTTAAAAAGCAGCCCCATGAGGTAGGTGCATTTTCCATCTGCACCCTGCTTCATGGCTCTGGCAGGGTTTTGGAGAGTGCTGTGAAGGAGGAAGCTGACTGCAGATGAAGGTTCCAGAGATGTTCAGGTGATTGAGGCAGAGCAGAAGCCCATGATGAATCCGAGCTGTCAGTATTTAGTAACTGGAGACTCTCAAACACCATAGGTGTGCTAGAATCAAGCTGGCTGTTGTTCTAAGTTGGGAGGCAAGTGGGAGACAGATGTGTTTCTCTGGCCGTGTATTAGTCTTACGTTGCAGGTCAGATCTGCAGACTTCTGCTGGTCTGAATAGGTTTTATGGCTTGATATATTGAAAATACTTAGGTGCCTGCAGTGCGTGGTTCATTTAAAGACTGCCTGGAACTTCTTATTAACCTCTTCCATGCTGGAAAAGGGAATACTGTTGTCTAAGCTGTCTGGCATGCAGTTTCAAGACATTGTGTTCCAATCCAGGGACTGCTCAGCTGAAAGCTGTGTCAGGCTGGTTTCTGGGATGTACTGTGCTCTGCAAGGATGAAGAGGTATTCCTCTAGCTTTGGGGGTGCTTTCCTACCTGAGTCCTCCAGGTAGGTGGAGATCTGCTATAAACAATAGTAACTTTCCACTAGGGATGGTAGAAAGAGAGAATTTGTAATGTTTGGGGACTGTGTAAATCCCTTGCTCCAACTCACTGCTGTTCCTGAAGGATATTGAGGTAAGAGTTTCTGGGGAATCATCATTCAGGGTGCAGTGTGGAGGTGCTAGTTTGGATCATGAGCAGGCAGGGGAAAGCATTTGCTACCAGGTGTTCCCACTATAGAGAAAGAAAGTTTGGGTAAGAACATGAAGTTCATATTGATTGCCAAAACTATGCAGGCCCTTTGCTTATCTCTTTTTGTTAATGAGCAATGCAGCCTCTGTTTTGCCTGTGGACTTTGCCCTGCAGGACTCTAAGTAGCACTGGCACCTTAAAAACAAACACCTGCCTCCCCCTCCCTTTTTTTTTTTTTTTTTTTTTCTTTAATTTACTTTTGAGGAAAAAGTCTTCTGCTTGTCTGTGCAAGAGCTGAATTATCTGATGTAGGTCAACAGCCTTTCACATTTCCCTTCCATGCATTGACTGTGTAAGGGCTGGACAAGCAACGGGCCAAGTCAGCCCTTGCCACGTTAGAGAAATGTTCCATGCTCCTCCCATCACTTGCTGTGAATCGGCCTGAGCCACGCTTGCTTACTCTAAAAGGGATGGATGACATGGTGCCTGCATTGCCCTGCTGCTGCTCCTAATGCTGCTTACAACACCGACCCCGAGCTGCTGTTAGAAAGTGTGGGGAAATCTGCAAAGCTTCCCTGGAGTTGGTGAGCCTTGGACAGAGCCAAGAAATATGAAGATCTTAAAGCAGTTGAGAAATAACGGAGCAACTGCTTTTCCGTCCCAAGGAGTATTTGCTGTCTCTCAACACCCTGACCGAGGGGACTTACCTGCCCTCCTTGGTGATGTGAAGAACACGTTATGAATTTGCCTTTTTATCAGCTGAATTCAGTGCTGAAGGATCACCTGTGCTGGTGGTCGACATGTCCATCCTGTCCTTTGCTGGCAGGACTCCAGTATTTCTGGAGCGTCCCACATTCTGCTGCTGAGGAGCTTCTGCGCTAGGTCATGGACTGACCTTCCTCCTGTTGTATTTTTCTGTATATATATAATGCTTTGGGCCATATTCAAAATGGTCCTTGAGCAGAAGTGTGTTATGTGGGGGGGAGGGGGGTAAAAAGAGAGAAAATACAGAATAAATGTATATTTTTGTTTGTAAAAAATAAAAAATTAAAATTGTTTGGCATAAATGGTCATATTTTTTCTCAAATGATTTCTCAAATGATTATGGAGGAAAAAAGATCTTTCAGCTTATTTTTTTTAAATCCATGAAGAAATATGGTAGCTAGTAACAGAATAACATGTCCTTTTGTCAGAGATGGATTTTTTTCCTTCTTGGAAGGCTATTACTAGGACAGGAGATGACTCTGCAGAGAGTGGTCTCCAGGCCCTATATAATTGTCAGTGAAGCCTTCGATTCTTTTCTTGGTAACTAGATCTTGCTGCTCCTGGGCCTGTCTAGCACCAGGGGTCTTTGCTATAGGATGTCTTTCTCTGCTGTTTGGGAAAAGGCTTATGTGGAAGTTGGAATTGACTCTTGCTTATTTCTTGTTTGGGCTTTGAAAGGAACCCTGTGTGTCAGGGCTGATTTTCTGGCTGCAGGCAGGTTGTGATAGCTGCTGAGTAACAATTAAGTGTGCTGGCAGTAATCGGCACCCGTCAGGTTCTCTTAGGCAGGGGTGTACAGGCTGGGGAAGCGGGGTGAGCTATGTCATCTCTACCTTGGGCTTGGGTCTTGCCCTTGTGCAATAAAACCTTTCAGAGCTCCTTCGAGGCTCCCTGCAGAGAACTGGGGATTGCCCTTGGGGATGCTACTGCTGGAATTAACTTCAGCGTCCTCTGCTCCTGCGTAGGTGGAGAGGCACTTAAGTTGCTGTACAGCTCCTCCACCGTTACCATGGCTGCTTCTACATCAGTGACCTGCAGGGAGTGGGCGCTGTTGGGTGTCCCTAGGCTCTTGGGGATCACAGGAAGGCACGGCTGTAGGTGTGATGTGCAGTTTTATTTGTCTTTGCTCACTCTCCCTCCTGGATCTTTGCAGCTGATGCTTGCCACCTGGCTGCAGTCACACCTGAAAAAGGCCTAAGGAAGGATGACAGGAATAATCAAAATTATGGGAAGACTTCCAGGGGAGTAATTGCAGGGTTGAGAACTCGGCAGCCTGGAAGCGCAATGGTGCAGGTCTGTGAAACCCTGAGAGCACAGAGGAGGCAAATCAGGAGTGACTGTTCATAGGCTGCTTCAGTACAAAAACTAGGTGCCATCAAATGAAGTTAAAAGGTGGCAGGTGAGAAACAAGAGGCTGGTGAGAGTGTTCTGGGAGGGATCATGGTTTCACTTTAGCCAGACCTTTGCTATTGTACTGGGTGTGTGCAGTGCTTCTGTACTGCAGCGCAAACAGCTGATGGTACCATGATGCAGTGCCCTTGCCTTGAACTCACGCAATGGGCAAGTCTCCAGCATCCAAGGTATTATACAAATAACAAAAATATTCCCTGCTTCCAGGAAGATGATATAGAAGAGGCCTGGATATCTTGCAGGGGTAGAGTGTTCTAAATACTCCCTTAAAGCTGGCCAGAGTCCCACTGCTGAGTCGAAGCTGTGGTTGCCACATTAATTGCAATGAAGAATAAGCATTAAATGGTTAAAACTGCTCTGATGCACTACTAAGTAGTAGATAAGCAGTGTGGTGATACCAAGGTTTTGTCAACTGTCTAGTCACAAATGCACAGAATTGTACAGGTCATCATGTGGACTGTATTTCTGGGAACGCAGAAAGTTTGGAAATGATCCTTCAGAGCTGCCAGCTGCTTGTGTGTTCTGTTATCTTCTTTCTCATTCCGTCAGTTTGGGCTGGGGATGGGCCATACCCGGCATCGGGGACCGTGTCTGCGGTGGCCTGACCCACGCAGGGCCCACGCGTGTGCCTGTCGTGGCCGGTAACGGCACAGTCAGTAGGTCTTGCTGGAACAGGGTGGCTGAAAGGGGCAGGGGCGAATTCTGCCCCGTAGAGCAGCTGCTGTAAAAGCGATTGGAAGTTGTGGACCGTAATTTTGTTTTTCATCACCAGAGAAACATGAGCTGATGCGTTGGGGTGGTGAGCTCCCTCCAGGACCGTGGAGGGAAGTGGCGTGTGCGCAGGTGGGCAAGGGGGTTCCTGGTGGGTGAGGGGGATGCCCTGGCTCGGCTGCCTTGGGGGTGCGATTGTCCCTGAGGGGGAATTGCCTTGGACACCCACGGGGGCTCATCAGCCCATGATGGACAATGCCTGGCTGGCTCCTCAGTCTTGGAGCTAGGAGGTAAGCTTCCTGCCTGCCTGGTTTATCTTCTGCGTGGTTACCTGTGGTTTGGTTTTCCCTCTCCCATAATTTTAACCCAGTAAAAGGAACCCCGTGGGCTGGGCATATCGCAGTGGAAATTGACGCGGTTTGAAGGCGTGGAGGGTGGGCGCAGCCCTCGCCGCGGGAGGGGAGGAGGAAGGCTAGCGCGCCCGGGGACGCTCCGGTGCCGCCGCGGGTACTTCGCAGGGCGGGGATAAAGAGGAAATCTGTCCCGGAGCTCAGCTTTCCCCGGGCCGGGCCAGGCCGCCCGCGCCGCTGCCGCCGCTAGCCTACAATCCCCAGCCTGCCCCGCGGCCCGCCGCCAGCACCACGCCGCGCTATTGGCCGCCGCGGACCCGGCCGCCAATGGGGCGCCGGTATGTTGGCAGGCGGCGGAAGGGGAGAGGCGCTCTTGGCGGCCGTAGCCCGGTGTGAGTGGGGGGCGGGGAGGGAGCGGCGTCCCCAGCGCCCGCCCCGGCGGCATGGGGGGCAGCGAGAGCAGCCACGGCGGCAGGAAGGTCTCCTTCGGGCTGGACGAGCGGGAGCAAGTCCGGGTGCTGCAGGGCATCAGGGTGAGGCGGCCCGAGGGCGTGCGGGGGCCGGGGATGGGGGCAGGGAGGCTGCGGGGGGGCTGGGCGGGGGAGCGCGGTGCGGGGCTGGAAGGGATGAGTGGGGAGAACCAGCGAGGAGGAGGGGAGGAAAAACTGGGAGCTGAAGGAGGAGGGGGTTGGAGAAGCGATGGGGTGACTGGAGAGTGGTGGGAAAGAGGGCTGAGTGCCTGAGCAGGGCTTCTGTTGAGCGGTGACACACCAGCCCTTTATCTCCCCTTCCCAACTCTGCTCTCGACCCTCTTTCCCTCCTCGCTGCTTGATGACCCCAGCTTGCCCCTGCCTTGTGCCTTGCAAGCAGTTTGATGCTAAAGGCACTGCCTGGCTCTGAGGGCATCCGAGAGGAGACACCTCTGCCCTTAATGGTACCGAGAGCGTTGGCAAAGCACCACTGTCTGAGCATGCAGGGAGATAAGAGACTGTGGGGATTAGCGAGGATGAGGGGTGTTTCCAGGAGGGGCGGTGGGAAGCTGCTTCTTGAATTTTGATCAGAAATCTATATGTATGTGTTGTGAAAACAAGCCCTGGAGAGTGATGGTGGTATCGTTAAGGAACATTTTTTTCCCCATCAAGATTTCTCTCCCTGTTTTTTTTTTGTCAGTTACTTAAGGTTTTTTTGGTTTTTTTTTTTTTTGTATTACTACCATAATTTTTGTTGCTGTTGCTTCGTAGTTTTATCTGTTTTCCCCCAAAGATTTGTCAGAGATGAGATGAGCTTGCAGAGTGTTTTGCAGTGGTTACTTATTTTTCATCCCATTTTGACTAATCGCTTAACAAAAGTTAACTAAGATTATGCCAGTCTCCTCTTCAAAGTGTTTGATGGAGGTAAAGTTGTTCTTCTCTCATTTATCTTTACAGGATATAGGCAGGGACCTCTTGAGGACTCACCCTCACCTACTATAGATGTAATTTTTTCTGGTGCATTATTTTAGTTAGCTGCTTCATCAGCTAGATGCAAAAATGTGGGTTCATTGTTACTGGTCTGTTTATGACCTCTAGGAGGTCAAGATGAAGATGCTCTGTATACCTCATGATAGCTGATTAGGTTAAATGAGCTAGAGTCTTTGTAGACCTTTCTGTTTGACTTCCTGAACTCAAAGTTTTTATTTTCCTACTTTTTTTGTTTTTTTTTTTTTTCTTTTTTTTTGCTGAGCCTACCCTTAACTAAGTCTGGCTTTTTACACATTTGTGTTTTTAAAAAACAGTTCCCATAAACAGGAATTCATCATGATAGCAATGTATAAATAAGATGTTAAAAATGATATTAAATTGGGTAGCAGTGGCATAGCTAAAAATACGTTTTCTACTGTGACCAGCCTGGGTGGGGAAACATCCTCATTTCATTTTGTTCTGGAGCCAGAACAGTCAGCACAGAATCTCTGTTCTTGGGGGGACGAAGGGTTTAGTCTTGAAAGTGTTGTGAGAAGCCCCTTGGGCTGGATTGCCAGAAAACTTCAAGCTAACTTTTCTTTCTTTGCCATGGGTTTGGACCCAAGTAAGGGAGTGAGAATGAAGTTGAGATTGCAAAAAATGTTTGCAGCCTTAGGTGAACGGGAGGGCTGTGCAGCTGTTTGCTGCTGTATGGTTTGCTTCTGCCACGCTGAGCTGGGGTAGCAAGCACGGGGGGAGAAGGAGGATGGATGGGATGGATTTACAGCCTGCTCAGTTCCCTTCCTTCCACTTCTGGTAAACGTGTCCCTGCTCAAGGAGATGGCTTGTTTGGTAGTGCTCTCCACCTTCATTATGATTTGTGGAAGATTGTCATTGTCCAGTGAAGCCTTTAGGGTCAGTAGATTAGAGGTTTTATCACTTACTGATAGGGTGCATTTTTTTTTAAATGTAAAGTAAATGTACAGTTGTTGACCATCTGGATTCAAAGGACCATGGCATTGAAGTGAGGTAACTGGCAATACTTTTGCAGTAGCATGGAAACTAGCAAATGGGAAGCTTTTATGATGAAATATACATACATTAAGAATTGACTTGATTGATTCTTTCCTGTGTATGTATGTTTCAGCTTTCTGAAGATGTAGTGAACCGAATGAAAGAATCTCCTCAAAGTAAAAGGGACAACCAGAGATCACCCCGTTCATCCAATGGCACAGCTTCATCTTTACCAGCTGCAGAAGGGAAACCCAAATCTCCTACAGGTACTGTCAGTCCCTGTCAGGTCTACTGACTGTTTCGACATACTTCTCGGAAGTGCTGCCACTGGATGTTATATGTATGCCTGTTTTTTCAGGACTATCTTATTGGGAGAGGAGCACTTTGATTAGCCTGTAACATTTTAATGCCTGTAGATATAGACATCACTGAATGCCTTGGATATTATAGTCCTGTGATGTCCACTTTATGTTTCTGAAATGTAGCTGTGTAATCTGGCAGTTGGAACAGTTGAAATGTTATGGTTCTAGTTCTGTCACTGTGTGACCCTAATAAAGACAACTTGTTTTTTAGGTCCTTTCCTTCTCCATCTTTGGATTACCACCCTTCTCAGATACTTTAATGAACTTGTATCACTTTGTGAACATTCTAGGATTTCAGATGAACATGCATTAAGCAAGACAGAAATTTCTTATTTTATCTTTCATTCCTGGCAAGATGCCTTGTTGTTCTTTGCATTCACAGGGAGTATATTGTGGATGGGTGGGGGAAATACTGATTTTTGTTCTTTTAAAATAAACTCATAGGGAAGGATAGACTGACTAAGCACAGCTTGCCAAATGGATGATGATAACTTAATTTCTGAATTGATCTTTCTTTACAGGTCAGAATACTATTTGATTTCTCTTGGTTCTCAAATACACTTTATTGATACATGCTATTAGTGTGGATTTGTTTAAGGCATCCAGACTAACATGAAGTTAGGGAACCAGGCCTTTGCTTTTAAAGATTTGCTTGCTGTTAGCCTACATCTTTCTTGAAAGTGGATTCAGCCTTTTGGAGCCTGAACTCCATCAAATAATTTAATCTCCACTTGTGTGATCCCTTGTAATTACAAGGAAAGCAGGAGATCAAGGGGAAGACTTAATGGAACTAGAGGAAGGAAGTGGAAAGTACATCTAAAACCATGCTTATGTTTCAGTATAAACCAGGGTTTGAGGAGTTAACGTTCTTACCTAAAAGTTTTTGTAGCATGCCTTGTTGAAGATGATGCTGTCAGTGTCTCTGTTTCATGAATTCAAACTCCATCCATCAATGGAAAACTTAAATTTTCTTGAGACTTTTCAAGGTGTATTGTTTTTTTCTCTTGGTGGAATAACACTTGAATATTAAATTTTCCTCTTCTCAAAGAATTTATGGTGTGATGAAGGACTATGTTTTGTACTATAGTTTTCACAGGTTTCTATTCTTCTTTTTAGGAATCCAGCCACCAATGGCAAGTGACTCTGATCAGAAGTCTTCTGCTGCAGAGCAGGAACTCTATAGGAGGTAAGGTGAAGATCTTGAAAAAGACAGTAGTTTGGCACCTTTTGGACTATAGAAACATAAAATGTTTAACTTCAGTCCAAGTGCAATGATTGTATGTTTTAATGCCTGAGAATCCCCTTTGAAGACTTTTTCAGTTAAGGGCCATGTAATGCATTTTTTTTAGGGAAGCCTGTTCCTTAACCAAAAGGAGCAGTTAGGGGAACTGTGTGCAATTGGAGTGATGGTTGGAAAAACAGGAAGGACCAGTATAATGAGTTGGTAACTACAGAAAACTTGTATGATGTGCATTGCGAGACACAGAGGATAAACGAGTATAGTTGCCTTTTCAGGGACAATGAAGGAGCCTAAGTGTTTGATACTTCCCATAGGGATTTTGGAATCTCAGACATGGTAATGGGTTTAATTCAGTTTGTAACTAAAATAATCAGATCTGATATACCTGATTCCATTCTTTCTTCTTTTCCTAGACTAGATGTAATGCCTGTCAGCCAGTACTAGAGTGCTATGAATTTTTCATCCAAGGGTATTTTAATTTATTAAGATAGAAATACCTGTGAAGATGAGCGCAAGGGTGAGGAAAAAGAAAAAATTGCAAAAGAAAACTGTCCTCCTCTCTGACGGAACCACAGCAGTCTCCTAGTTTTAGGCATTGCAGAGCAGTGAGAACTTCAGTTCTGTGTAACGCAGTAGCTTTCTGTTCTGTTTGTTGGCCTGATCTGTCTGTGCGTCCTTAACGATGCTGTAAAGATTGGTCTTCTGCTGCTCTGATGGTGTCCTTACTGTGCTTATAGCCTAGGTAACAATGAAAATCAGTCTCTATGTGTATGGTGTTTTTTGAGTATTGCAACTGACTGACCAAACCTGTTAAAACCCTGTTGCATCAATCACACACCCTTACAAAAGTCAGAGATGCAACCAAGGAAAGTCTCTGGAGAGCTGTTTCACTTTCTTGGGCACTGTGGAATTGAAATTGTTGGCAGTTTTCAGTGCTGAGCTACTGAACTGCATCCCAAATGCCTGGGAAAAGGAGAGGTTGGGGCAGAAATGAAGTGGAAATGTAGGCAGGGAAGACAAGCTTGTATTTTTGTGTCTCAGCTGTGGAACCAGAACCAGGTCTGAATGGGCTGAAATGCAGCCTGAGAAAGTTTGGAGATGACACCAAATTGAAGGAAGGGTCACTGTGCTGGGGAGCAACATTGCTGCTCAGAGGGACCTTGGCAAGCTCAAGGCATGGGAGAAGAGAGGCTGAGGGAACTGCATTGACTTAGCCTGGCAAAGAAGGGGGATCCAGTTGTTTTCAACTTCCTAAAGTAGTAAAATAGGGACAGTGCCAGACTGTTCTCAGAGATGCACACTGAAAGGGCAAGAGGCAAGGGATGTATATCACAGCAAGGAAATTCTGCATAGATGTTGGGGTGGGGGGAAACCCCAAACAGTCAGTGAGTACAGTAGAGCACTGGAACAGGTCGCACTGAAAGGATATAGAATCTTCAGCCTTGGGGATAGTCAGAGATTGACTGGAGAAGGCCCTGAGTGACCTGATCTAACCTTGAAGTTAGTTCTGTCTTGAGTAGGAGCCTGCAATAGATAACCTTCAAAGGTCCTGTCTAACCTAATTTATTCTGTAATTCACTTCAAGTTAATCTCTCTGCTTGCATGTGGAATTTCTAAGGCTTGAATTGGATGAAATTTCCTTCATGGCAGTCTGAGATTTGGGTGTCCAGGCTATGGATGTGACAAGGCTGCTTCTCTCAGTGCCGGTGCTGCATGCATTTTATGTGATTTTTCTTTCCCTTGCAGAGCAGAAGGGCAGCATTGTCAGATAAGTTAACTCCTTCTATTGTTGTATGTTCCTTGATCTCTTCCAAAGCAGTATGTATTTATCTAGCTAACCACTTTCTATTCTCACTGTTTTCAAGTGATAATTACATAGTTGAGAGCTACGTATAACTGAAGTATAAGCTTATATGGTGCTAAGTTTGCTGTTGTTACCAGAGCTTTACCTCACTGAAGTTGCAGGTCATGTTTAAAGTTTGTTGAACTTCTGAATTCCTGCTGATATGAAGGAGCTGTGAGCAGACTTTGTATCTCATACATTATGGATTTGTGTTTCAGCTCTAGGCAGGGATAGTCCACGCTAAGCCATAACCCTGTTGCCAAAAGTCTGCTGATCACCTTCTCTCTCTGCCTTTGGTGCTCATACAGGTATGAACAAGAACAGGCGCTGGTCCAAGAGGAGTTGCTCCGGCTGGCCAAAAGAGAAAGGGAAGCAGCCAGTGAGGCCTTGAATACTGCCCTTCAGCGGGAAAGGAACAACACTAATGAAGAGAGGCAGAGAGTGGCCCAGCTGGTGAGTAACAAAAAAACCCAGTATGTTTCCATGCAGGACAGGCTAAAATATCTCTGCTTGAGAGACTGCATTAAATGTCATTTGTGTGATGAGCTTGGAAACTTCGATTTAGGCAGAAACACTCATCACCTCTTAATTCATTACTTTTGGCTTACAGTGTAGCTGGCAAGCTACAATTGCAGTGTGTTGTGCAGAGATGCTAAGGCCAGTCTGGCAGGGAAAGGCATAAACAATGACTGTACTGGGAACAACTTCACCTGTAGCAGGTCAGTGTGGTGTGTGTGTATATGGGGTCACTGTCTGAGTTAGAGATCTCTCTTCTAAATATCAAGTCTATGAAGTGGATGTTTTGATATATACAAGATCAGATTCTACTGACCTGATCTATCATGAAACTTTGCTCTGTTTTTCTGGAGTATAATTGTTCAAATACCGAAATTAATAAAAAGTAATAATGAGTTCTGTTGTTTGAGTATTTTATGATTCTGGTAACAGAAGAACCGTTATAAAGCTGTCACGTATTGTAACATATTGAAGAAGGCCTAAAATTGATTTTTAGGGACCAGGAACCATAAACCCCTTTTGTATGTACCCCTGACTCTCAAACCAAGTCTGCCTATTGGGCAAGAACAGATTATTTTTGGAGACATCTTGATGCAGGTCAGGCAAGTTGGTGTTGCTGAGATAACCTGTTTGGGTTATTGTCATACCAGTGCTGAAGAGGCAGAAGTACCACGAGAAGAGACTGAGTAGAGCAAAAGGCTTATATCACTACAGTAGATTGGGGTTGTCACTGGTGCTTAATATTCACAATACTATTTTATATTGTGGTTTTTTTTTTTTTTTTTTTTTTTTTTAACTAGTAATGTTACTATGGCAATGGTGTACTGCCCTTAATGCAGAATTTTAGTGGAACTGCCACTTTTTCCTGACCTGCAGTGATATGAGTTGTTAGAGTGTGACAGTAAGGTGGGACTATGCTTGCCACGGTAAGATCAAACTGCCTGTTCAGTTAGACTGTGAAGTTGAAACTTTGAGAGAAATAGACAAAGAGTAATCCTCCTTGCCAGGTACATACTGCAAAGATGGTTTAGGGAGAGGACCAACTTGAGTAATGGTCTTTATTGTGTTTCTTCCATCCTACTGATCGGTTGCATGCAGTTGATTTAAATAAAGAATCCTCCTATGAGCATGTTTTTTTATATGTTGAATGCTAACAGGCTTGGCTTACCCAGGCACGTGTCTTCTCTGTGAAGCATTTTGAGGTTATAATATGAGGAAATTTTGCAGGGCTGAATAAATAAATTTTATATAGGAATGGCAATAGTGGTTCAGACAGAAGGTCCTTCTAGCAATTGCCCATCTCTGATAGTGATTCATAGCAGCTGCTTGTGGGGAGCAGAAGAACAGAGCAGGTGTATACCAGTATTTCCCACCAGTATACCCTTGCAACTTCTGTCCTCCTGGGGCTTAGAGGCTTCTTCAGGAAGGTTGCATTTTCACCTTGGTGGTTAACAGTCCTTAGTGAAATTGTCTTCCGTTAATTTGTCCATTTGTGTTTTTGGATGTGTTTGTGCTTTTTGACTCCATGATAATGTTTGTATGTGGTTGGATTGGTAGGTCTCTGGGACTGCTTTCCTGGATATAGCCTGTGAATGGCTGCTGTGTCACAGGAAATGTCCTCTGGGCAGGTTGTACCCTGACCACAGGGCGTTGCATGGCTGCTGGGCTTTAGAATAGTGGTGTCTTAGACAGGTGACTGCTGCTCCTCTGCACAGGACATCTGGGTCAGCAAATGCAACATTAACTCTCTTTCCACTAGAAAGACAATATTCTCTTTATGAATGCAATTAATGGACTTCTGTAAAGAGGGAGGGAGGAAGCTAGTGAGTTTGTTGTCCAATCTAAAGATACGGCCTGTCTGAGAAGTAGAGCCCTGCCTTCCTGCAGTGAAATGTAGAGTAATCCTGGAGAAATGCAATTAGCAATCAGGCAATATTTGTGAAGTGTAGGGAGGGCACCTCCAAAATGAGTTGGGCCTGACCGCTAACATACAAAAACTGTTCTCTTATCTGAGTTAGTTTTTAATCCTGCAGCGTCGCATAGCCAGATACTGCATACTTGATGCTCTGCAAAAATCTGATCAGGATCTCCTTGTGTAACCCGTAAAAGATAAACGGGGACCATGGAATGTTAGCCCAGAATGTGGTGCAAGAATGAGAAACTGTTAGATTTCATTGCTCTTTAACTATCTCCTGATCAGTCATAAATTTAAGATCTTTAAAAATGGAATAGTCTGGCCTGTCCTTGTAAAGATGAGGTCAAAGCTATTGTCTATCAGCTTCTAGCTGTCTTCCTAAGCCAGGAAGTGGTTTTGCCAGCCTTTTAAATTATTGGGATACCTATCAGACTTTCTTTATCTCAGCTACAGTTTCCTTCTGGGCATGGTTATCTTATTGTATTGACTCAATCCTACCCAAATTGTATCTGTCCATTGTCTTCCAGTATTGTTTTTTTCCTTTATTTGGAATAGAGCTTAAATGTTTCTTGCTCACTCTTCTGTGTTTTAGACCTAGTGTATGAGGCAAATAATGGGTGTGAGCTGCTCTTCCATCTCTTCTGTGTCGGTCTTTCAGGTAGAAGATAGTAGTGGAACTCTAGGTACCTAGTGGTAGGCCAGGTGCAGATGGTTCTGGAAATTATCTGCTTAAATTATTAAGGGAACATATTCCAGGGTTGTTTTTCTGGTGGTTGTTGTGACCTACTAGGGAAGCCAGAGATAAATGGGGCAACTCCTATGAAAGAAATAACAAATGAATAATTTTCTTCTAGCAGCACTTAATTTACTAAAAATTGAAAATCATGCCACATATAATTAGAAAAGTTTAGTTTATTTATTTGTTTATTTAATATTTGCAGTAAGATCTTGAGCTGTCCTGTGCCCTTAACGTATCAATGGTTTGGTGATTAATAGCCTTCTCTTGTACAGTTGTCTCCAGTAGTGCTGCAATATTATCCTTTAACCTTACCACTTGTAGACCATAAATCCAAATATGATAGCTGTATTTTGAGATGATTTAATTTTCATTGTGTTGAATGTCGCTTGTCATTTAATCTGTTCTTTGTGATTTTTTGATTCACTGACTGTTATTATTGACAGTATTGCTATGAAACACTTCATCAGTCTTATTATATAGTGCACATTCCTGAAGAGAGGATGGACTAGTGCTAACATTTGATGGGGAACTTGCTGTCAGCTTCTGGGGCCAGTTACTTCATCATTTATGGGATAGGGTGCAGATTAAAATTTACTGTTGTTTTTTTGTTGTAGTTTGTGTGGGTTTTTATTTTTTTCTTTTTTTTCCTCTTTTCTTGAAGTGGTGCACTGGTTACAAGAGGGATTTAGAGTTAAGTGCTTGGATCTTGTTCTTCATCTTTGTCTTAATCCTTTTTTATGACTTTGAACAAGGTACTTAAAACCTAAGGTATCTAGAAGCTGAGTAAAACTCCTTAAAGTTTTAGTTTAAGCAGCAAAACAACTCGGTAAGTAGAAACACTGCAGCATTCACTTCTCTCTTTGAATGAATATGGCTTTTGATTAACCATGGGGGACAGACTCAGATGGAAATAGTCTGCTAAGATGCTGCAGAAGAACTCTCACCAGTTTGTATTAAAGATAAAATGTTTTGTTTGTTTGTACAGCACTGCAGGATTGTGGTGCTGACTGGACTCTCTGAATAATTTAATGCTGTGGGCACTTACAATACAACAAGGATTATATGTACAGTACTTCACAGCAGGGCCTAGGGTGTTTAACTAATGCTTGTAACATACCTTAAGTCTCATGTGAAATATCCAAGAACTAATACAGCTATCTGTAAATCCTTTTATATTTCTAGCATGAGGAGCTTCCGAAGTTGTCATAGTCAAGTTATTTAATTGCTGTACTGTGTTGTGAATAGTCTCACCTTTCCCCTGCACCAGGAGTCTTTCCTTTTTCATTTCTAAAACCTCTTCTCTCAACTTCTCAGTTCTTTTGGCTTTCTTTTTTTGCCAACAAAAGAAACTTTGCAAGCAAAGCTGCTCTTTTTTTATCCTTTCTGCTTTTATAATCTCCTAACGCTGTGCAGCATGTGCAGCATATGTATCATGAGCCTCTTGGAGCCAGTGACTCCCTGCCTGATGTTTTTTGCTGAAACCTTTGAGACAAATCAATGTGGAATGGGGATGGATAAAAGCAGAAGCTGGGGGGGGGAAATAAACGCGATTAAGCGAAGACATCTCATTACTACTCTAGAAAGGGAGGATTATAACTTATAAAATAGGAGGATCTCATTTAGGGGCCATGTGTGCCTGTGTTATCAGGACAGAGGGAGAGCAAATAGAATAAATGAAATTAATACTTTGAAAAGAAGCATTACCCGGATTTGAGAATAGAACTAATATGATTTGTGCAAAGCCCTGAAGTTCTTATCTCCCCACTTAATACCCCTAGGATAATGGTGCTGTCAGAATTATTGACCAAAAGTCATCGTCTTCCTTCCCACTTGGAAAGAATGAGTTCAGAAATGGGGTGATGGTAGGACAAACTTTGCACCATGATCTGCTTTTTCAGACAAGGCTGATGGGCATTGGTTGTGTGAAAACAGACTGGACACAGAATTCCTAGATTGCTGGGAAAGCGTTTCTCCAGCTTATTGATGATTGATGGCTTACTATTCCCACTGTTCCTGGTCATGCCCAGCTCACAGGCTTGTTGGATGGCAACTTTTGCTTTCTGATGGCTCCAGCATTGCATAGTTTTGATTAATGTGGTCTGGAATATAAGCATGGGAGGAAATACAAGGATTTGGAGTTTGTCTCTGGTTGCTCCAGTAGCTGATGATAACTGGTCATAGGCTGTTGGATTCTTTCAGATAATTTCTTCCCCGGAAATGTCTTTGCTCTTGAGATCCTCTCATCTCCTCATCTTGATTCAAGAGAGAAGGGCTGAAGGAAGA